TTAACTGGACATAAGACATAAAATATGTACAGAATTTCCTGTATCATAATAAAAAAAATGTGATCAGATTGTCTGCAGGAGATGTGTCTGATAAGATACTTATCAAATCTATCTTCATAAAATTATAATATTACAAACTGCAATCACTTGTTAAAATCAATAAACATTTCAATTATTGTGTACTTGCCCTGATCAAATAACTGATGATCTTTTGTAATGATCCAACTTCCTCCATTTCTGTATTTCTACATCATCTGTAAACTGGAATAGTTGCATGTAGCTCTTTTTTTTTCTTTTTTTTTTCCGCATTTTGTGTTATTCAGGATAATCATGTGTTTCCGTTGATTAGAAAGTCAATAGATTTCAGTTTTCACTCAGGCTGAAACATTGGACACAGTAACCACTTCAGTGTCCTATTCATCCATTCATGTAGACATCCAGTTCACTTTCTCATTTTGTGTGATTATTATCAATATTACTAATATTATTATTTATATTAATAAAAAAATCCAGCTACAGTGCAAAATCATGTTATAGAAACACTAAATAATACTAATACAAATTTAGACAATTCTTTAAATTATTTTTTTTAACAGATATGCAACACATTTTCTATAATGATTTAAGCTTTATCTGTATGTTTTGTTTCATATCTTACCATTTAGTTGGCTCACATGCATTCAGTATACAATATGTTCTGCCAGCATTTACTTAAAAACATTTACCCAGGGAAAGCTTAAGAAGCCAGAATTAATCGTTTATAGTATGTAACAGATGTATTTGTACATTTACTTTGATTAATGGATATTTTGAAAACCTAGTTTCTCTCCAACATATCTTAAGAATCTATTAGGAATATACAGGATGGTAATACACCCTTTTCACATTTGTGGGTTTCTCAGCAGCTGAGGTCATCATAGTTGGATAAACTTAGAGAGCTGTTAATGGGAGAGTACCACACACACACACACACACAAACACAAATGATATAGATTTATGCTGTTATAATCAACTATTAGCCCCCCTTTTATTAATATTTTTTTTTTATTATATTTCCCAAATTATGTTTAAATGAACAAGGGAATTTTCACAGTATGTTTGATAATATTTTTTTTTCTTCTGGAGAAAGTCTTATTTGTTTTATTTTGCTAGATTACAAACAGTTTTAATTTTTTTATGAACCATTTTAAGGTCAAAATCAATAGCCCCTTTAAACGTTTCTTTTTTTTGATAGTCTACAGAACAAACCATTGTTATGTAATAACTTGCCTAATTACCCTAACCTGCCTAGTTAACCTATTTAACCTAGTTAAGGCTTTACATATCACTTTAAGCTGTATAGAAGTGTTGAAAAATATCTGGTAAAATATTATGTACTGTCATCAAGGCAAAGATAAAATAAATTTGTCATTAGAAAAGAGTTATTAAAACTATTATGTTTAGAAATGTGTTGGAAAAATCTCTCTGTTAAACAGAAAATGGGGAAAAATAAACGGTGAGGGGGCTAATAATTCAGTGGGCTATTAATTCTGACTTCAACTATATATATATATATATATATATTTTTTTTTTTTTTTTTATTTATTTTTTTTTTTTAATTTTTAAAAAAAAAATTTTTTATATACAACAGTTCTGTCTGGTTCTCAAATCTGATTGGCTGATAGCCGTGCGATATTCTGGAATATCAGAACTCCTATAGCCTCTTTACCCTCTTTACCCTTTGTATTACTCCGCCCACATACAGCCAGCAAAAAGCAGACACTACAGATCTAAAGTTTAAAAGATGCATGCTAAACTGTTTAACTGTCAACTTATGATTTGAATCCAATGCGGAAGAAAGTAGTTCCACATACAAAAGGGTTTTTGAGACTCTCCATGTTTGATTTTGTTTCTATATACACAATTATGCCCTCAAACTGTTGTATAAACACAATATTACACTCGTAGCAGTGTGATATGGATGTATATCGGCACCTTCGGCCTCGTGCCATCGCACGCCTCCCACCAGTGCCGATATAAAGCCATATCGCACTGCTACTCGTGTGATATTGCGTTTATATATATATATATATATATATATATATATATACATATATATATATATATTCATTCATTCATTTTCTTTTCGTCTAGTCCCTTTATTAATCCGGGGTCGCCACAGCAGAATGAACCAGCGGATGCCCTTCTAGCCGCAACCCATCTCTGGGAAACATCCAAACAAACTCATTCACACTCACACACGCTTACACTATAAACAATTTAGCCTACCCAATTCACCTGTACCGCATGTCTTTGGACTGTGGGGGAAACCTGAGCACCCGGAGGAAAAGTAGGGAGAACATACAAACTCCACACAGAATCTGACCCAGCCGAGGCTCGAACGACTAAGCAACCTTCTTGCTGTGAGGTGACAGCACTACCTACGGTGCCACTGCGTCGCCTTGTTTTTATTTCATTCATTTTTAAAATACAAATGTTTGACCAGTAGTTTTAAAGACCCCTGCCCCCCCTCCCCTTTTAGTTTTAAAATTATAATTATTTAATATTGTAATTTTAATGGTCTTGACAATGAAGACGATACAACAATTAATGCTCAATATTTACTACGTTTATTAAATGATTTATGATTACAAGACAAAAAACATTTTATATATCATAAAGTCACTAAACCTTTCCAGTTATGTTGTGGATCCATGGAATATATGCTGAAATCCTAGTATACACATTAGGACGCAAGCGTGAATTACAGAGATAACGGTCACCAAAAGCTGTGATGCCAACAGCAGTGTTATTACAAACCAAAGGACCTCCTGAATCCCCCTGTTAAAAAACACAGATCAACTTGTCACTAGTGAAATTAGTTCAAACATTAACAAAGTCTGAATCATTATTCATACGTACAATGCAGGTTCCACCATGGCCATAAACACAGATCATCTTTGAGGCCTTATAGTATGGTCCCCATCTGTATTCACACTCTGCATCGCACATTATAACTGTCTCTGCCTCTCTTAGACGATCAATCGGTGGGCCATTCAACCACAGTGTTCCCCAACCAGCAACACTACAGAGAGTCTCTGCTTTGGCACTTTTTCCATTCTTTGATAATGAAATCAGTCCAATATTGTTGCTCAGTCGGACATTTTTATTTAACTGTAATGCAAAACACAATCGTTCATTATAAACTGTTTTTTTATGATTATTCCGCTGGTTCTGTTTGTTTGTTTGAAAACCGAAGCACCAAATGAAAAGGTATACTGAATGAATAAAAAACAAGCATCTAGAACGACTAACAGTATTACAGATTTATACCTTCAAAAGCATGATGTCATTCTCAAAAGTGTTAGAATTATAGTCTGGATGCGGTATGTAGGATGTCACTTTAAAGGAGTTGCAATCGTTTTTTTCACGCAAATCATGGGTGCCAACCACAACCGTCAAGATGTCACATCTATTAGAAAAGCATCTTATTATCAAATGACACACTGTATGATTGTACTGCTGATAATGTGTCAATGAAAACAGATTTTAGCTCAACATCACACTTTACACTAAACAAAACTCTTACTTCTTCCAGCAATGTGCAGCAGTCAAGACAAACTCTTCAGTAATGAGGAATCCACCGCAGATATGCTGCCCATAATATTGAAGAGAAACCATGTAAGGTCTGGAGTGAGGTTTTGCTTCAGTGCCGTCCTCTATACCCACATGAGCTGAAAGAAATAGTGTTGTTAGTCAATTACTCTGAACATGTATTTTCAATATTTTTAACAAATCTGTAAGTCAGATCTTACCGGTAAAGGTCAGGTGTGGCACAAAAGAAACCAGCAGGAGAAGAGAGATGATGATGATGGTCATGATGAAGACTATCAGTGAGCTTGCAATGACAAAACACAAAATATACCAATATAAAAATAGACACTAAAGGTGGGTGTAGACATTTAAATTGATGTATTATTTTTCCGTTTTGCACCCTGATCAACAGCTTTTATTTTAGGAGTGGAGGAAACCCATTTGATTGGCTGTTGAATATGAGTCATATCGAAAGTCACACCAACTGGCCCACAATGAAATTCTCCCAAAATACACCTCGTGTAGTGTGCAGCCATTATGAACTCTTCAGGCTCAAACTTAATTAAAGGCCAGCAAATGTGCATTTTTTGCTTGTTTTTACGGGGTTTTGAATGAATGATCCAGTCTCATTTACAACACTGCATTTCATTTAAACCAAGGAAAAAGAAGAGAAATTCAAGCTTCGTGCTGAAATGTACAAATGAACATCTGGTTTAAAAATCAACAAGAGGTTTCAGATGAACAGTGCAGCAGTGTGGTTGATCTCAATGAGGAAATCTAGTTTTGAAAAAGATCTGCTTTGTATTTAAACTTCTAAATGAATAGTTCTGGTTCTTGTTTCTGATTGGCTGAGTTGTGTTTGAGTCATAACAGTGGTAACAAAACAATACAAACAAAAACATTCTACAAACATATGCTGTGTCCCAATTTGCATACTTATACTACGCCCTAAAAGTATGTACTTCTTTTGTCAGGAAAAAGTTTTGAGTGTGCAGCAGAAGAGTATGCAAGCTTTGGGACATACTACTTCCTCTTTAACAGATCGTTGTGCTGATTAGTTTTCCCCCTGTCAATCATCCACACACCATCCACATTTCTGTTGTATTTGATTTCCTAATTTATTGGAGAAGCAGCAGCAGATTAATCTTCCATTCACAAGTCATTCATGCAAAGAAATCTCCTCAGATCTTTGTCATCAGTCATAATACTGATTTAAAATAGTTTTCTTCTTTTTAAGGATGTAGTTGGGATTATGATTAGTAGCCAGATGCTGATCTTATTTGGAAACGGCACCATGACATGGAATATGAAGTCAGTTGCTCAAATTAAACCTTCAAATTTCCAAATGCATGTAGTTAGTAACTCCTTAAAAGATGCAACTGACAAATATGAAACAACCTTTGAATTGAAGCGCACCATTGTAAGATGTATTTTTATGCCATTTATTAATCTGAAAATTGTTTGAATAGTAGTTTAAAACCTCATAATCTTGACAATGAAGACAATACAACTGATTGATGCTTGCCATTTGATACTTTTATTGAAAGATTTATGGAAGAATTAAAAAACATTTCTTCCTTTTTTCATGAAGTCACTAAACCTTTCCAGTTATGTTGTGGATCCATGGAATATATGCTGAAATCCTAGTATACACATTAGGACGCAAACGTTAATTACAGAGATAAAGGTCACCAAAAGCTGTGATACCAACAGCAGTGTTATTACAAACCAATGGACCTCCTGAATCCCCCTGTTAAAAAAAAAAAAAACAGAGATCAACACATCACCATTGAAATTAGTTCAAACATTAAAGTCTAAATGATTTTTCATACGTACATTGCAGGATCCACCATGGCCATAAACACAGATCATCTTTGAGGCCTTATATAAAGATTTCCATCTGCGTTCACACTCTGCACGATTCACTATAATTGTCTCTGCCTCTCTTAGACAGTTAGTCTTTGGGCCATTCTTCCACAGTCTTCCCCAACCAGCAACACTACACACAGTATCTGCTTTAACATCTTTTCTCTTCTTTGATAATGATATCAGTCCAACGTTGTTGTTCAGTCTGACTTTTGTATTTAGCTGCAACGCAAAACACAATTGTTAATTATAAACTTATTGGTATATACTAATACTTATAGTATACACATATAATCATGGGCTCGTGTATAACTTTTCAAGACCTCAAGCAATTATTAATGAATACTTCATGAGAAGCAAATGAATATTTAAGATATGATTCATACATTAATCAATAAATAAATATTTAAATCAGTCATAATGCATTTATTCCCTAATAACATATTATACTACATATAACATATTACGTATATCATATATAATCATTTGTTCTTAATGCAGTAATAAAGTTTTAAATATATATCATCCCATGATTATAAGAATAAGAATTTTAATGAATAACGGTGCAGCCCTATTGTAAACTGTTACAACTATTTTTTTTTTTTTTATAGATTGCTATTTTGTTTGTTTCAAACCAGAACCACAAATGCAAAAGAATAAAATAATTATAGGCTGATACCTTTAAAAGCATGATATCATTCTTCATAGTTTCAGAGTTATAGTCTGGGTGCGGGAAGTAGGATGTCACTTTAAAGATGTTGCAATAATTTTTTTCACTCAAATCATGGGTGCCAACCACAACTGTGAGGGCATCACCTCTGTTGAAAAAGCATATTGTATCACTGCCATATAATGAACTGTATGACTCTACTGCAGCTGATGTGTCAATCTAAAGGGATTTTAGCCTAGCATAGTGTACAGTTCACACTAAACAAAACTCTTACTTTTCCCAGCAATGTGCAGCAGTCAAGACAAACTGTTCAGTAATGAGGAATCCACCACAGATATGCCAGCTGTTTTTCTGAAGAGAAACCATGTAAGGTCTGGAGTGAGGTTTTGCTTCAGTGCCGTCATCTATGTCCACACGAGCTGAAAGAAATAGTATAAGTCAAGTACTGAGAACATGTATTTTCAATATTCTAACAAATCTGTAAGTCAGATCTTACCAGTGAAGGTCAGGTGTGGCTCCAGAGAAACCAGCAGGAGTAGAGAGATGATGATGATGGTCATGATGAAGACTATCAATAAACTCGCAATGACAAAACTCTGTATGAGTATACTATAAAAATAGGCACTAAAGGTGGGTGTAGACATTCAGATTGATGTTTTATTTTTAATTTTGCACCCTTAGCAACAGCTTTTATTTAAAGAGTGGAGGAAACCCATTTGATTGGCTGTTAGTAAAGTATGAGTTATCTCAAATATGATGATGATGTTGATGAAATTATCACACCGACTGACTTAGAAAATACATCCCCTTTAGAGCAGCCTTCATGAACTCTTCAGGCACAAACTCCACCAAAGGCCACCAAATGAGAATTTCTTACTTGTTTTTACAGGGTTTTACATGAGATCCAGCCTCATTCACAGTACTACATTTCACTTTAGCCAAGAAAGAGATCAGTTTAAGTAAAGAAATCCAAGCATCATGCTGAAATGTACAATTGAACATTCATTCGTTCATTTTCCTTCAGCTTAGTCCCTTAATTTATCAGGGGTCACCACAGTGGAATGAACCGCCAAATTATCCAGCACATGTTTTACACAGCGGATACCCTTTCAGCTGCAACCTACTACTGGGAAACATCCATACACACTCATTAACACACATACGCTAAGGTCAATTTAGTTTATTCAATTCACATTAAATGTCTTTGGACTGCAGGGGAAACTAAAGCACCCAGAGGAAACCCACGCAAGCACGCAAACTCCACACAGAAATGCCAACTAGCCCAGCTTGTGGAAACGAGGAGAAGAGGAAAGAGAGCCGGAATCCTCGTCAGGCTTAAGACGCCGTGGATTTCGACCTCCGCTCCCCACCATTCTGCAGGCTAACGTTCAGTCACTGAACAACAAATCTTGCGAGCTACGGGCGCGCATTTCCTACCAATGGGAAACAAGAAACTGCTGCATTATCTGTATTACAGAAACCTGGCTATCTGCGGAGGTACCAGACACAGCTGCTCAACTTTCGGGGTTCTCCGTGCACCGCGTGGACAGAAAGAAAGAACTCACAGGGAAAAGCAAAGGTGGAGGTGTGTGTTTCTTTATTAACAACTCATGGTGTGATGAGAGAAACATACACCCAGTTAGATCATTTTGTTGTCTTGATCTAGAATATCTTATGCTTCGGTGTTGGCCATACTGGCTACCGAGGGAGTTCACAACTGATATAATCACGGCTGTCTACATCCACCCTCAAGCCAACACAGTGCAGGCGCTCAGGGAACTGTACGAGAGCTTAATCGAGCTGGAAACCGCACACCCATAGGCAGTGTTTATTGTTACAGGGGACTTTAACAACACCAATCTCAGGAAAATCGCTCCAAAATACTATCAACATATCACCACAAATACACTTGATGACCATATTTTGGATTATTGCTATTCCCCGTTCCGGTACCCCTACAAATCCCGGACCAATCGGACCAGATTCCATACTTCAAGACTGTTTTGATCACGTGGACTGGGATATGTTCTGGGCAGCTTGTGATGATGACATTAAAGCGTACTCAGACACAGTTACATGCTTCATCAGAAAATGCATAGAAGACATGATCCCAACAAACAGTGTCCGTATCTACCCCAACCAAAAACCATGGATCAATGGTGAAGTTCGAACAGCATGTGGCAGGGACTTAATTAAATCCCAGACTTTAAAAGTAACAAACCCGCCACTGTAAACATTGCTGCGTCTCTCCTGGATGAGCTCAACTCATTCTACGCTTGCTTTGAAGCTCAGGAAAGCACGCACAAACTGTGCGCTCCCGCGTCCGAAACCGAAAGCACACTCTTTATTTCTGTAGCAGACGTAACGAGACCTTTCCGTCGTGTAAACATCCGGAAACCTACGGGGCCAGATGGCATCCCTGGATGTGTACTTAAAGCATGCGCAGACCAGCTAACTGGAGTTTTCACGGACATCTTTAACCTCTCACTCTCTCCGTCTGTGGTTCCCACATGCTTCAAGACAGCTACTATTGTGCCCATAACAAAATCAACTAAAAGCACATGCTTGAATGACTGGCCTCCGATTGCTCTGACACCCATCTTCAGCAAATGCTTTGAGAAGCTGATTAAAAAGCACATCTGCTCTGTACTGCCCGCTCACACTGACCCTCTGCAATTTGCATACAGAAGTAACCACTCCACAGACTGTGCAATTGCTTTCACTTTGCACACTGCTCTGTCTCAACTGTATTGTGGACTACAGCTCAGCATTCAACACCATAGTGCCTGCCAAGCTGGCGGTGAAGCTACAGGCTCTGGGTCTGCACAGTTCTCTGTGCAACTGGATCCTGGACTTCCTGTTAAGAAGACGCCACATGGTCAGAATGAACAACATCACCTCATCCCCACTGATCCTTAACACTGGTGCTCCACAGGGCTGTGTTCTCAGCCCACTCCTGTACTCCCTGTACACACATGACTGTACAGCCAAACACAGCTCCAATGACATCAGTATGCACATGCAAGCCACACACCTCCATTGTAAACAATCAACTTGCACATGGAAAAGACATGATATGTAAACGACCCCTAAGTCTGCCGTCATTTGCAAAATCAAGCAGTCTTCTTTCAGAGACTTGCTGGAATTACCTGACTTGTTGACTAATGGGTTGCGGACCCATTGCTTGGCAGTTTGTGGATCCTTCACTAGGCCTTTTCCCCTTCGCAAAGACAATTTCAAAAGAAGTCTTACTTATTTTGCTAGCTTGTGAGTTGAAATTTATAGTTCAAGTGACCAAGATGTAACCGAGAGAATACGGTCATTTTTAAAAATAAAAGATTGGTACTGGTCTGCGGCCCAGGGGTTGGGGACCACTGGTTTAAACCATGAGTGCTTAAACTCACTCTTGGAGGGCCAATGTCCTGAAAAATTTATAAACAACCCCAATCAGACACACTGATTATTCAAACTTGCAAGAAATGTACACCAACATTTGTTGATTTAAAAAGTAAAATTTAAAGCAATGATCTCGTAGCATTATTTATAATACTGTAATATAAATCAAAGTTCATTCATTCATTTTCCATAGGCTTAGTCAGCTTATTGGGATTGCCACAGCGGAATGAACCACAAACTTATCCAGCATATGTTTTACACAGCGGATGTCCTTCCAGCTCCAACTCAATACTGGGAAACACCCATACACTTTCATATGCCCACATTCATACACTACGGCCAATTTAGCTTATTCAATTAACCTATACTGTATGTCTTTAGACTGGGGGAAGCTGGAGCACTCGGAGGAAACCCGCGTCAACACGGGGAGAACATGTAAACTCCACACAGAAATGTCAACTGACCCAGCCGAGGCTCGAACCAGCGACAGTGCTAACCACTGAGCCACCGTGTCACCCCATAAATAAATAAGTAATTGAATACTTTAGTAATATATGGTAAGAGATTTGACAAAATTTAGAGTGCACATTATCAGCTGACGAACTTCCAGTATCCAGTTAAAGAAGGGCCACACGGTTCACCAGTTCTACCTACAGGTCTGAGATAAATTGAGTATGTCTGTGGTTTTCTCCTCTCTCACATCCTGAATGAGAAATGAGATCAGAGGTGTTAAGAAAAGGTGTCAAGATTAGAGGTGTTAGTCTATTGTCATAAACAAAAACAACATGTTATTTTTTGTAAATTCTTTCCACAGTGTATGAAAGTATCTTGTTGGACTATAAATTATTTAAAATAAAGAAAGTGGTGTGTTTTTCCCAGCACAACACTTAAATACAGTACTTAAAATTTATAAATTCTCCAAAATGTATTTGTTTGCAGTGAAAATCATCTTTAAAAAGACCTGTGTTGCTTACCATCTCTGCACACATTTATAGAAGTGTGGTTTGGGTGGGCTGACACCTTTGAGCCAAGTTCCTTTTTAAAACATAAAATCCAAGCTGTTTTGTAGAGATAACAATCATTTGTCCTTAAGATAATGCATGTTTAAAACTCTACAGTACTGTTTCTGACTCTACAGAATGTTTGCAGTGATGTCTGATTGTTGTAGGTTGGATGCTATGGAGGTATATGTAATAGGTATAGGTAATAGTGTATAGGTAATAGTGTGCTTTCCAGGGATCTGAGAGGATCCTAATGCGCCACTACAGAGTTGGGGATGATGATTATACACTGACGATCAGGGGGAGTCAGTTTTTTCCAGCAATTTTAGTTTGTGTAACATACTTTATCCAAATTTATCAATTTAATTCAATTATATCTAATCTATTAATCAAATGTGTGGTTAGCAAGGACATTCTTGATCCTAAACAAACGGTGCAATTTGCATTCCTGCACCAAAAAAAAAAAAAAAATAGATGCCCATGAAAATCTGCACTGTTGATGTAAAAAAATAATATGTTGGAGCAAGTGTATAATATAATATAAACTACACAGCTTTTTTACATTACTTTTAGGCTATGTGGATACAAACATCTGTTTTACAACATACATAACTGTTTTGTGCTCTAGATCTGCCGGTTTCAAACCACTGAATTTATATTTTTCTGCAGCCATAGACGGCTTTGTGCAGGCACTCTCAATAATATTAAACTATAAAAGACTGGTCAAATGTATATTTAAATGATCTATTATTTTAATTATCAACAAGATACAGATCAGAGCAAACTCATTCTGATGTTCTTTAGGGGGAATCAAGGGTAAATTAAGTGGGTCAGACCCCCAAAACCCCGTTTGTAAATCACATCCTGAGTATGACCATCCATTAGAAGAGTCATTAAACTACAGTATGCCCCTGACACTCCTCAGGGGCCTAAAAAACTCCCACAATATCCTTAAAAAAAGAGTTGGGGTCTAACTTCAAAATCTCGTTTAAATGTTCACATGGCCTTTGTCCATCATAGCCCATAACCAAAACTGCTGCGTTATTACGTTTTTTTTTTCTTTCTTTTTTTTCTTTATATTTTTGAGCCAAATCTTAGCACCATTCTATGGTGTGACTGTCTCAAACATAGCTTAATAAATTACTACACATAATTAACAAATTCATCAGGTCTAGTTTTACAAGTGGCTATTTTAGTAAATTTCATTGTTTTTAAGCCATATGTTTCTAAAATATATGAACTTGATACATTCTGTCACTGAAAATCATGTCCACTGGTGTGAGGCTATATGCGTTGTGGGTTTTATGATTGTACTGTATATA